TCCTAATAGACCGACAGTGCCGGGAAACGGACAGCAGCCACAGAGAAACTAGTCCATTCTCCGGGCTCACAAACACAATTCCGTTCAAAACATTATCGCATTAATCAGCGCGCCGACCAAACCGCACGTCCAATCGACAACGATAACAAAAACGAATGCGCTGTCTGCGATCACGGTGGCAATATTTTAAATAACCTGAAAATCAATCACACTCCTTTCACACCAACTTCACCAACACACCTACAGCCCCACTGTTATTATAGTGGGCATGCTGTAGTACCACACTTCACCACCACCACACCCCTCATCCACAATGAGGACAACAAGGTTATTCAAAATACTTGTCACACGTTCGTAGACTTAATAGGTAACGACTATAGCGCGAGTCGGGCCAACGATATGTTGGTCACCGTGGGGGAGGGGAATACGTCAGGAACGGCCTACTCGCTTATGGCAATTAATACTGCCGGCGAACAAACCGTTTCAACGCTCCCCGTTCGAACCGCTGACCACCTGAGTACTGCCGCACAAACACGTCCGCGTAAAATTACTGCTCCCGCTGTGGAGCTGGAATTTAACAACGGCTTTGTGACGGCCTTACTTGACTCTCAAGCGCAAAAATCGTATACCACTCGAGCTACAGCTCACAAATTTGGAATTGTGCACAACGGACAAACACCCCCAGTTAGATTAGCTGACGGCCACACAACAGACACGGCCGGCACAGCCACTTTTATAACAAAAATTGCGGATCTACAAGTAAAGTTTACGGCTGTTATCTTAGAGAATCTGTACTGTGACGTACTCCTGGGACACGACTTTCTAACAGAACAGGAAGTCTCCTGGGACTACGCTGCATGTACAATTCACTTGGGCGCGACCTGACGCACTACAGCTTGTTGGAAAGCGAGTACTCAGCACACGCTACCCGACGTAGATCTCTCAACACTAGATATAGCAGGCGACCCACATACACACGCATTATTAACGCGCACGATAAAAAATTATTCTGCAGTTTTTAACGACACGGTAGGTCGCACAAAGCTTATCGAACACAACGAACAGTTCTAAAAGACTCGACGCCTATCGCGCAAAAACCATATCCGTACCCGCTACACAAACAACAAGCGATAGACGAAATGGTAAGCGACATGGAATCACAAGGGCTCATAGAACCCAGCACCTCCCCTTGGTCAGCACCAGTCGTGCTGGCCAAGAAAAAAGACGGCGCATATCGCTTATGTGTCGACTATAGGCGACTTAACGATGTGACCGTATCAGACGCGTATCCCATGCCTAATTTAAACGAAATGATTAGAAGCATGAGGGGGGCGAATNAAACGAAATGATTAGAAGCATGAGGGGGGCGAAAGTTTTCACGTCACTCGATTTAAAATCGGGTTACTGGCAATGCTCTTTACAGCAAAACGTACGCGAATACACCGCGTTCAGAACAAAAAAGGGCTTATTTCAGTTTCGTGTACTTCCGTTCGGACTTAAGAATGCACCCATGACCTTCGTACGCTTAATGAACGAAGTACTTAGGGGGTACATCGATGACTTCGTTCAAGTCTATCTGGACGATATTTTAATTTTTTCGGACAGTGTTGAAACACATCTAGACCACCTTAGCAAAGTTCTAGAACGCCTAATGCGTCATGGCCTAACATGCCACACTAAAAAGTATAAGATCGGGTATTCTAAAATTTCTTTTTTGGGACACCGGGTGCATGAGTTAGGCATAGACAAAGAGCCTGAAAAATTACAGTCTATACGCGATATTCCAGTCCCACGCAATGTAAGGGATATACTAAAATTTTTAGGGGTATGCAACTGGTATAGTCAGTTTGTCGACAATTATGCTGACAGTATCGATCCCCTCACCCACCTTTTAAAGAAAGGGGAGAAGTGGTCGTGGTCTCAACCACAACAATACGCTTTCGAGCACATCAAATCGGTAATATGCTACTCACTACGCCTTTCCTCCTCCGACTACACAAAGATCTTTTGCCTACAAACCGACGCTAGTGAACTAGGCGTAGGGGCGGTATTATTTCAACACGGTCAAAAACCGGGGGAAAAGGATATCGTCGCTTACGCGAGTAAAAAGCTGTCGGATACACAAAAACGTTATGCCGCTTTGACAATTTTGTGCGGGTTTTGCACCGAAGTGGTGGAGCCCCGTGAGATTAGCCGAACGCCTCGGTAAAGGCGTGTTCTTAACGGACCAGTCCCCACCAAGGAAAATTCATGTCTCATGTATGAAAAAACAAAGTTAGTAGTTTTTTTTTGTTATTTTTCAGCATGAGCAACAACAACAACAACAACCCAACCACACCCTTATCCGTCGAGGAGGTCCAACGGTTGGTTGGCCAATTGGCGGGCCGGGTGGGCCTCCCGACGGATCCCCTCCCGCGCGTACTGCGCACGGGGGAGGATAATTCGCGCGCTCTCCTGCCCGAGGTACTTAGGAATCCCGTGGCTGGGAGTCCATTTCGAATGGGGTGTGCGGGCGGGTCGCAAGGAGGTGAAGCGCGAAATACAAAACGCGCTTAACTCCCTCCCCCGCGCCTCCCCGTCCGCCCAGGGGGTCCAAGCGCCCCTACCCCCAAAACCTTGCCGGGTGATAAATGTGGCAGCTCAACACTTTCCCCGCCCAGGGAAGGCGACCACAAGCAATACGCGGGTGGCCGCCTCCCCACGGCCTCTACTGTCTTTCCGCGCTACGCGGCCGGACAGTGCCCCACCGTTATCACGCCGCCCAAAGCATCCGTACGCCAAGGGCAGTGTAAGGGCCGCATCGACGTCTACCCCTTCGACCAGCAAAACCCCTCGGTACTACTCTCCGTCAGAGCGGGAACGCCGGACGAAGTAGTACCGGGAGTATATGCTTCGATGGGGGGGGGGGGGGGGGGGCCTANNNTTGGGGGCGGGGGGGGGGGGGGGGGTCGTCGTCGATGAGGAACTTACACCGCCCATAACCCCGACCGCAACATTGCGGACACCGGTCATGACTACAACACCAACAACATCAGCATCAACCACAACAGTGACAACAGCTGTTGTTAGCCGGCCGTCGGGCGTGTTTGTGGACGGGGTGCTGGTGGCTCCAGCATCAGCAACGACACCAGCGACCACCGCACAGGAGGAGCAGCCGGAGACGCCGATGGAACTGGAGGACGACGGCCTGGTACGGGAGATGGACCTGTTCCTCTCCTGTCCCACCTCCCCAGCATAGCCGGAGCCCCCGGCCGAGTAAGAGCCCCCCCCACCCCAAGCGCGATATGCGCGGGGACTATATTCCCAATTCCCCCCTGCTGCGCGCACTCCGTGGAGCATTACCACCCACTCCATCAAACATACAACGTAAGTATTGCGGCTTGTTATTGCGCTATGCGCCTTTAATATATTTGACCAAACACGGAACGCCATATGCGCTATTTCAATTTGCTTTTAGAGTACAGCGGCGGCTTGGTGGGGGGGTATTTGACATGGCCACGGAGTTGTCACACGTTGACACCCCGCGGTCTCAGCGGTGGCTGAGAAGGAGCTGCTTCTCAGCCACCGCTTCACTGTAAACCGGACCGTTACACACACACGTTATCGTCGTGGTGTTAAGTCCAACAAATGCCTAGCGTCGAATACCCCGCCGCAATAATACGTCCAGTCAGTCATCTTCGTGACACCCAGATTGCTTGTTCGTCCGTTCGCCATTCCACCCGAACCGCCACCACAGTGCCGATATTTTTTTTGACATTTATCAACAGAACCATCTGAGTGTGATTGTTCAACAATTCGTAGTATTGTTACTTTTGTTTACCTTTTATTCTCTTTTTGCTAACCTTTTTATTTCATTAAACGGCTTGACGCCACCTGTAGAACGAATCGTGCTTTCTTCTTTTTCTTTTTTGTGTGCGTTTACGACGTTAGTCGCAACAACATTTTAGCACGTAATTAACCGTTGTAAGACGATTTAATTTACACCTGACACTATGTTGTAGATCCTTTTACTCTTAAATTATAATAAATAATTTAATAAATTAAATACACAAGTTATTAGAAGAATAACATTTTAATATAAAAACACATAACACAAACCGGTCTCATCGAATGCCGGTCAGCAACTGATAACGACGATATTATAGAGAGTGTACACCACATTAACAAAGTTAGAAACAAAGCAATACTGTGCCGGAGTCTTTCTAGATGTGACAAAAGCTTTTGACTCTGATTGGAATGAAGGACTTCTATTCAAATTAATAAACATTTTCCCAGCTCCTTATTACCTTATACTCAAATCATACCCGCTAAACCGTTATTTTAAAGTCCGTCATAATTTCCAATTCTCTCCACTATACCTAATATATACGCAACAACCACCTGCCCCCACTCTCCTCTATCTCTTGCCGTTTCTTCCGCATTTTTTACTCCCAACATCTTCAAGTCTTCTTTTATTCTATCTGTCCATCTTTGTCTGGGTCTTCCTCTGGGTCTCTTTGTCTTTGGTTTCCAAGCGGTTACTTGTCCAATTAGTCCTTCCGATCTTCATACATGTCCGTCCCATCCTATTCGCACGCTTTTCAAGGTCCCAACAATGCTAGGTTCATTATATAGTTCTTCTAAGTTTTTATTGCTTCTTATTTCATATTCTCCTTCATTGTTTCTCTCTGGGCCAAATATCTTCCTCAACATCTTTCTCTCAAATACTTCTAACTTTTTTTCATCAGCTTTTATTGTCGTCCAGGTACTGCTTGCGTACCTGCTTTTATTGGCGTCCAGGTACTGCTTCTGGTTTAACCAAAACTTTATATAAGATTACTTTGGATTTTCTTGATAATAGTTTTGACTTGAACAATGGTATTAGTCCATAGTAACACCTGTTTGCTGCGATTAGCCGTCTTTTAACTACCTCGTGGATATTCGCGTCATCGTTGATATCAGCACCTAAATATTTAAAATTTCTTCCCCTTTAAAAAATGTGATAATTTACTTTTAAGGAGTCTGTTCTATGATTTTGTCTAGACACTATCATGTATTTTGTCTTTGTCTCATTAATTCTTAAGCCAATCTTTTTCCCCTCCTCCATTAAGATACCCGCTGTGTTTTTTAGGTCGTCCTCTGTTTCGGCTAATAAGATTATATCATCCGCATAAGCAACTACTGTTAGATGCTGATTGTCTTTTATTTCTATGCCCTTGGCTTGGGACATTACTATTCTTATGACTGATTCTAGGGCGATGTTGAACAGTGCAGGTGATAAAGCAGCACCTTGACTGAGACCAGTCGTTACAGTGAACTCTCCCGATAAATTTCCTCCAAAACTGACTTTACTTTTTGAATTATATGAAAACGTTTTTATTAGTATGGTTAACTTGGCTGGTATACCTAACTGGTACGCTGCTTTGAAGTCAATAAACAGTAGGTGTATATCTTTATCAAATTCATGACTCTTCTCAACAGCTTGTTTTATTATGTGTATTTGATCTATTGTTGATTTCCCTTTCATAAAACCAGCTTGGTATTCTCCAATTATTTCTTTGATATAAGGGTTGATTCTGGTCAGTAGTATGTTAGACAGTAGTTTATATGTTGTATTGAGTAGTGAGATCTGTCTATAATTTTCAATCTCCATGATGTCTCCTTTTTTGTGTATAGGGCATATAATGGATATACGCCATGCTTCGGGTATCTCCTCATGTTCCCAGATTGTGTTCATAAGTTTGTGGAGTTGGCTTAGCAGGCCTTGGCCTCCCTTTTTTAGGCATTCTGATACTATTTCATCATCTCCCGGTGCTTTTTTAATTTTTAGCATATCTAGTCCTATCTTCACTTCTTCTTCAGATGGTTTTTCAAACAGCTGTTCTACAGTAATGTATTCAAGTGCAGTAATATTTTCATTTGGTTGATTCAACAATTTTTCGAACATATCTTTAAATTCACATGCAATTTCTTTGCTCTCTGTTAATGACGATCTGTCATTTTTCTTCATTACAGTTGGTATAGTTTTAAATCCATGTTTCACTTCATTTGCTTTTTCGAAAAATATTTTGGTGTTGCTATTCCTGTTGTTTTCTGTGGTGTGTATACGTTCTTTTTCCCACAATCTCTTATTCCTTCTGATTACCTTTTTTGCAATCCTCTGCTTTAGTGCTAGCAATCTTTTATTGTCCACACTAGGGTTCTGTAAAACCTTAGTTCGTGCTTTGTCTTTTTCCTCTTGGCAGCCTTACACTCCTCGTTAAACCGTGTTTTCTTTGCCTTTTTTGGTATATATCCAAGCACTTATTTTGCTAATCTTTTGATTACTTGTTCTACTTTCTCCCATGCTTCATTCAAGTCAACCATTTCTTGTATGTTTCGTAATTCCGACGTTGTTTTTTCTTGATAACCTTAGCTGTTATGGATTTTAGTAAGTCCTTGTTGATTTTTTCTTTGTACTTATCCTTCTTCTTCCATTTTGTTTATATTCTAAGAGCGATTTTCGCTTTCACTAGGAAATGATCTGACATCGCACTACTTCCTCGCATACTTCTTATATCATTGACGCATGATTTTATCCAGTTGTTCACTAACATGTGATCTATTTGGTTTCTTACTAACTCACATGGGGAGATCCATGTTTGTTTGTGTATATTCTTGTGAGGAAAGTACGTGTTACTTATTATCATATTTCTAGCTATGGCGAACGTGATTAATTTATTTTCATTATCATTCGTAATTCCATGTAGACTTTCGGATCCAATTATGGGTTTACATATGTTCTCCTTTCCAATCTTCGCATTGAAGTCCCCTAATACTATTTTCGATTTGTCATTTGGTAGAATGTCACACACCAAGTTTAAATCCTCATAGAATTTATTTTTTATATCATCACTTTTATCTTCTGTCGATGCATAACAGTTGATCAGGAACATGTTGTACTATTTGCATTTGAGTTCTATGTAGCATAGCCGATCGCTTATTGGTTTGAACCTCACTATATTTGAAACAATGCTATCCCTTATTACAAAACCTACCCCACATTCATGTTTGTCTCCGCCACTGTATAATAATGTCTTTCCTTGAGCTTTCAAGCTTCCTGAGCTTGTCCATCTCACTTCTTGAATCGCGGTAATATCCATCCCATATCGTTCAAGGAACGATAGGGATGTTGTCAAAGCTCCAGTCCTATACAGAGAACGCACTTTCCAAGTTCCAATGTTTATGTCCGTTAAATCTTTGATCCGAGGCGTAAGTTTTGCATTAAGCCTGTGGGCTAGTAAAGGGTTAAATTTATAAAAAAAATATACCAAATGATAGGTAAAGACATCAAACATCTATAAAAAAAAATCATATTGATTTGTTTATTTTTGAAAAAGTTATGGTAGTTTTAAGTAAAAAAAATTGAAAAAATTAGTGATTTTAACATTTGTAATTTTTTTGGAGATTTCCCTCATTTACGGGAAACGAGAGAAATTTTTTCAATTTTTGAGGGTAATGCCTTCGACTAGATACGATTTGTGATCTTTTGACGTATCGTTGAAAGAAATCAGTTCAGTGAGAGCTGAGAAAAAGTGGTAATAGACACTAAAAAAAAACAAATAAATAAAAAAAAATAAAAAAAAAAAACATCATAGTAAAATTAATACCTTCTCAACTTCGCATCGAAGCTAAAATAAATTGTATATTTTATGTATCTCGCAATTATTCCAAAAATCAAAAAAAATTATTCATCTTGAAATGAGACTTTTTATCTTTTCCGAGCAAAATCATGTGGTTTCAGTTCTTTATTGGTTTCAGATACATTAACCAAATCTAATAAAAATTAAATTATTATGCATCAATGCGAAGACTATTTTATTTAACTAGAACTATGAAGAAATCATTTAGAGCGAAGAATTTTTCCTTTATTAAATGAATCAATAACTTATACTTTTCTTTGATTTTTAAATTAATATTCCACTTTATTAAAATATTGAATAATAGTAAGAATATTTATATAAAATTTAATATTTTAAATAATTTTACAAAACATTATTTAGTTTTCATTGAAAAGAAGTTTTACTACAAGATTTTTTTTATTATTTTGAAGAGCATTTTTCTAAATAATATTAAATAAAAAAATTTAATGTACAATTGGTAACAAAAATAAATTACATTCTTGAATATTAGCACAATAATTTTAAATTTATGTTGCATACATTAAAGTTAAAAATTAAATTGTCCCTATTTTTTATGATACAGTCACAATTGTGTTTAAAGTTTTATTAGTAAAAAAATGTTAAAATATATGCTTTATGATTGTTTTAAATTACTTTTTTATATTATCTGTACTCATTTGATACTAGTATACCAATTTAAATAAAATATAATAAAAACAAAAACCAGTACTAAGAATTTAGGACTAATAATTTCAGTTATATACAATGTGAAATTTTTATAGTATTAATTAACCTAGTCAATCCAGTAGGAAAGAATATTCAAGTTAAATATACTATAAAAATAACTCAGCTAAATAAAACCAACATAATTATAATTACGCATCGAAGTTTAAACAAACTATTTTATTTTTATATTCATTTAAAAAAAATATTTGTATTATCACGATTTAATAAAAGTATCGATTACACATAAAATTACTGATTAAAGATATTTGGTATAATTTTCTCTATTTTCGTCCGTTTCCATCGGTTCTGACATATCATCATATGAATAATCAGGATTTAATCCTTAAGGAAAAAAAAATAATATTTTTTCATTTATCTAGCAATAATTGCAAAAATCAAAAAAAAAAAATACATCTAGATATGTCATTTTACCTTTTCCGAGAAAATCGATTAGTTGCAGTTCTTTAATAGGTTCAGATACATTAACCAAATCTAATCAAAATGAATTTATTATACACCAATATGAAGACTTTTTTATTTAACTATAACCATAAAATAATCATATATACAATTTCTAGTGTTCAATACATATGAAAGAGTAACTTATAAGAAACGGTAGCCCAGTGGGGTCGCGGCACAGTATGGACATTAGGGTGGCCCTCAAAAATCGAATGTCTTTTTTTTTCTTTACGCTACCCCTTAAATTTTGTTTAATGGTCAAAAAAATGAGCTGTGCAAAATTTGGGACCGATCCGTTAAGGTTAACCCGTGCCCCCAGGCCTATTAAGTTGAGTCAAAGAGTCAAATTTAAAAGAAATAACTGATCTATGTCTCATAACTTTTTTTTCTCTTAACTTAGAATAATAGAAGTAAAACTCAAGTAAAGGAAATTTTACAAGAAATTCAAAAATAATAACTTCAATGTTGTTTTCTCAATAAATAGCCCACAAAAACACTACATACAGTAAAAAACATGTAAAAGTCTTAAAATACGTTATAACTGATTTTGTTGATTTTTAATTATTTATTTTCATTTTATTTTTTGGAAAACGCATTTTCGTTTAAAAAAAGAATCTAGAAGTTTAATTTTTTATGCCAAGTACGATAATTATATTAGATTTATTATTTTATAGACAGTTAATTAATGATTAATTACAAACCTAACAGTTTAATTTAATTGTTATTAACAATTTTTAATTTATTTTTTTTTTAAATAATAATAACTTTAAAAAAAATATTTTAACAATAATTAAATTATATTATTATAATATATGTATATATATTTTTTTGATAATGTACTTTTTTTACAATTAGGGAATTTTTCAGATAATTACTTACTATTTGTAAAACGTATTGTTTCTGTTCTTCATTTGTAGTTAATATATTAATGTAGTCTTAGATTAATGTGATGACACGCTAGGCTGTATCATTAATGACTCGTAATTTACTTATAGTATTTAAAGCATTTATGTAACTGTTGTTCGCACTCCAAAATGATGGATCAATTTTCAAAAAATCAGTGTTCAGATTAAATAGTTGTAAATTTGATGGTAACTTACTACCAGTTATTTCGTGGGAATAATTACCAATAAGATAAATATTAGTTCGTAATACTTTAAAAGACGCTAAAAGTATTGTACATTTGTGATTAAAACGTATCATTTAATATATAATAATAAACAGGTAAAATATATTTAACGTGTTCACAAATTGTCTGCTGCATTTATACGACACAAATTATGTCAGTTGTCGAAAATAACTCAAATATACTTATCTTTAATAATAATATAATTGGTACTATCTTAAAGTAATTCAGTAAACCAAAATTGATATATTGATACGACAAAATGTAATAATACAATCAATTTTGTTAAATTTGTAATTAATCATTAATTAACTGTCTATAAAATAATAAATCTAATATAATTATCGTACTTGGCATAAAAAATTAAACTTCTAGATTCTTTTTTTAAACGAAAATGCGTTTTCCAAAAAATAAAATGAAAATAAATAATTAAAAATCAACAAAATCAGTTATAACGTATTTTAAGACTTTTACATGTTTTTTACTGTATGTAGTGTTTTTGTGGGCTATTTATTGAGAAAACAACATTGAAGTTATTATTTTTGAATTTCTTGTAAAATTTCCTTTACTTGAGTTTTACTTCTATTATTCTAAGTTAAGAGAAAAAAAAGTTATGAGACATAGATCAGTTATTTCTTTTAAATTTGACTCTTTGACTCAACTTAATAGGCCTGGGGGCACGGGTTAACCTTAACGGATCGGTCCCAAATTTTGCACAGCTCATTTTTTTGACCATTAAAAAAAATTTAAGGGGTAGCGTAAAGAAAAAAAAGACATTCGATTTTTGAGGGCCACCCTAATGGATATGGCATAGTGGGTCTAGTATATAATTAATCTGACAGTGATTAAAATCACTATAAAAAAAAACGCTTTGATGCAAATCTGTAGATAGTGTTTAACTTTAAGAAATTGGTGGATTATTCAAAAGCAAACTCAAAAATAATTAAGGAAAAATTACAAAAAAATCATTGCCACGGACAATGATTTTTACTGAATCGGTAAACGTTAGTCCAATTCGTTTTTTGTTAAAACTGGCAATTCTAGCCGATTCCAATGTTAAAATTAACTTTTTCTTAAAAAAAAAAAAAAATAGAAATAAGTTTAACTTTTTATTCTTTGTCAATTAGTTTTATATAATATTCATGAAAATCAGTGTACCTCATTATAATATATATTTAAACAAATTAAAATAAAATACAAAGAATTTTAACACAAAAATAGCATATTTTTGGATATGATAACCATTTTCATTATATCTCGAAATTTTCTTTTCATAATATAGTATATTACATAAACTTTCATTAAAGATTAAATAAAATAATATTAATAAAGTAATTACGTAATAGAATAATACTTCCGGAAAAATTTTCAAAAATTTAATTCAATAAGTTTAACTTTTTTTGTAAAAATTGTTATTTTGAATCCCCCCTGTGGTCAGATTATCAAAAAATGTATATTAAATAAAAAAAGTAAACTTAAAGTATTCCTGAAAAAAATTTGTATTGATCCATACATTTTTCAAAAAGTTATAATAAAATAAAGTTAAAAAAATAAAATATGAAATTGGAAATTTTAACATCAAAATATCCTGATCTACAGCAACCATTTTCACATAGAAGATAAGTCGTCTGGGCGAAATTTGTTTATTGAACTTATAGTACATAATATTTTAAGCTTTATTTTAACATATTTTTGAAGGTCGAAGTATTTACGGAATATTCTCAATACTTTAGTTGAAAAATTTTAATTTTTGTGCAGAAGTTGCAACTTTGAGTCCCCCCTATGAGCAGGTAAAGGGTCAGGTTTCCAAAAAAATTATATCAAATGAAAGAAAAATATCTAAGGTTTTAATTTTAAAAAAAATTATTTTGATTTGTTCATTTTCCAATAGGTCATAGCATTTTTCTATATAATATTAAACAAAAAAAATGTTATGTATAATTGGTAACAATTATAAATTCGATTCTTGAATATTAGTACAATAGTTTTAAATGCAATACAATTCTATAATATTAACTTTTTTGTAAAAATTGTTATTTTGAATCCCCCTTGTGGTCAGATTATCAAAAAATGTATATTAAATAAATAAAGTAAACTTTTTTAAGATAAATTGGTCCAGTGAAAGTTGAGAAAAAGTGGTAACAGACACAAAAAAAAAACACATCATGGTAAAATTAATACCTTCTCAGCTTAGCATCGAAGGAAAAAATTACGTTTTTGTAAAAGTCATATTTCTATTAATTTTTATTATAGCATAAATAAAAAAAATTGTATCTTATGAATGAGTCATTTTACCTTTTCCGATAAAATCGATTAATTGCAGTTCATTATTGGGTTCAGATACATTAACCAAATCTAATAAAAATTAATTTAAACTATAATCATGAAGTAATCATTTATACGATTTCTAGCATTCAATACATATAACAGAGTAACTTATAAAAGTAATAATTATTTTGTAATAGTTATATTTTTATTCTGTATTAATACAAAGTAAATAAAAAAAGGTTAAATTTTCTGTTTATTTGTCAATAATTGTAAAAAAAGAAATATTATGCATTTATGAATAAGTCATTTTACCTTATCCTATTATCTAGTATCTTACACCCTCGTAAATACCACCACTTTTTTGCACCTCTGATCCTAAAGTCTTAAAACATTCCACCTATCCTATCATGACCTCGACTATTGTTACTGATCCATTCATTTCACAAAGCTTGTGTTATCTTTTGTCAAACTCGGACTCTATATACTCTGTCTTACTCATACATATTCTTAAACCCTTTTCTACAAAAGCTGATCTCCACACCTCTAGTCTTTGATTAATTTCCTCCCTGTTTTCTCCTATTAACATTATGTCGTCAGCGAACAACATGCAAAACGGCAACACTCCTTGTATTTTTCTAGTAATTTCATCCATTACTATAGAAAATAAGTTAGGACTTAATGCAGAACATTGGTGCACTCCTACTCTTACCCTAAAATTCTGTTACTCCTTCCACATCTTTAACCCTAGTTCAAGTGCCATCATACATATTTTTTATATTTTAGACCTCTCTCGGTACACTATCATACGCTTTCTCCAAATCTATAAATACCATACAGAGCTTTTTCTTCTTTTCCCTAAACTGTTTTTTTAGTTATCTCACACGAAATAATGGCTTCATTGCTGATTTACTAGGCATAAATCCAAAGTGGTTTTTATATAACGATATCTCCTTTCTTTATCTCTTATCTATTACTTTTTCCCAAATTTCCATACTATGTTTCATAATCTATATGCCTCTATAATTTCCATACTCCTCTATGTCTACTGTTTACCTTTAAATATCGACACCACAACACTATTCCTCCATTAATTTGGGAATAAACACTTGATTTCTTTGCACAATCGTTTATACTTCATCCAATCTTCTCTCTCATTGCTTTTTCTTACTTTATATGAACTTTGGAAAGTCCTCATCCCACTACCAGGTTTCCTTGTTTCATGGAATTCTACCACTACTCTAACCAACAATCTCCTTTGAAGTATTCTTTACACATCTAGCAATTCTATTCCACACATTATAGTATTAACAACTACATAAATTAATAAAAATAGATACAAAAAAAAAATGAGCAAAAATTGCTCATTTTTTTAGGAAAAAGTAGGAAAAAAATTTTCCTACTCTCAATAATTACAGTATTTACAAAATATTATTTGTTTACGAATGGGACGTTTTACCTTGCTCGATACAATTGATTTGCTGCATATCCTTATTGTTTTCAGATACATCAACCAAGTCTAATAAAAATTAATTTATTATACACTAATACGAAGACTATTTTATTTAATTAGAACCATGAAGAAATCATTTATACGATTTCTAGCATTCAATACATATAAAAGAGTAACTTATTAAAGTAAATATTATTTTGTATTAGTCATATTTCTATGCTGTATTAATAAAAAAATTAACTTTTTTTATTTATCTGTCAATAATAAATATAATGCATTTACATATGAGTCATTTTACCTTGTCCGATAAAATCGATTAGTTGCAGTTCTTTAATAGGTTCAGATACATTATCCAAATCTAATAAAGATTAATTTAATATAAATAAATATAAATACATTTATGTATAACTAGAAGTTAAATGTATTCCTTGAAGTAAAGAATTTTACCTTTATTAAATGAATCAATAAGCTCTAGAATCCATTGGTTTTCTAAAACTAGTGAAAAATTAAAACATGATCATTATAAATAATTGGGATTTAGTTTTCCTGTAAAAGTAGTTATTTTACTAAATGTATTAAAGTAATTTTTTCATAGAACACTTATCTAAATAATATTTAAATAAATAATTATATGGACGACTTTTGAATACCACTATAATAGTTTTAAATTTGTACTTTATATTTAAATATTTAAATTATAATTATACCATTTCTTTGTGACACGGTTTCAATTGTTGTAGAAGTCTCGTTAGGTCTTGTATAAAATTGTAAATCTACACTTAAAATATATACTTTATAATTGTTTTAAATTATTTACTTAAAAATTCATACCGACTGTTATATACTTATTTGGTAGTGGTATTCCAATTTGTAGAGTATTTGGGTCATGCTGAAACCCCAGTTTATGAAATTTATTTATAATTATAGAATTAAATATTAAATTGACTTTTTGACTGAGATAATCATAAAACTGCAAAGTATTGTCATTATTAGTTATGTAGTTATATTCTTTAATCATATTTAGCCATAGAAATTCTGTATCAATTGATACAAATTGACAAACCGTAAAACAATAATATTTAATGTCAGTATTATTTCGAATAAAATATGTTTGAATAAATTCAAAAAAATTTTTAGTAACTTTTGAATCATTTTTCAAAGGAAGATAGTTTCTTATCTTTTCGTTAAAATTTTCTAAAATTAATAACAATTTTTTTAAAATAAAATTATCCTTTTTCGCATCTTTCCATGGATCAGTATGCAAATAGTCCAGTACATAAAGCGTTTCTTTCATCAATGTTGCTAATGATGGCATTTTTTGTAAATTTTTCAATAACTCTATAGCACAATCATATCCAGTTGCTTTTGGATCAGATTTTTTATTCAAACTGCTACAGTGTTTTCTAAATTCCATGAATATGAAAAATAGTGTTTTTAAATCTCTTACGTAAGAACAAGCTAAGAATAAAGTCAATAATCGAATTCGATTATTGCAATTAATTAGTTCAGTTGTTTCAAGCAGCTCTTCCAAATAATAAGCTTTTTGAAAATATGCAATACAAGACACATCTTTTAAATTTTTCCATCCATCATTTGCAATAAGTCTATTCAATATATCAGTTTTGAATCTTGAATTGAATTTTGTTTCAGTAATTAATATCAATATAAATAGTATTAAAAAAATATAAAATTCTTTCATTGTTAGAATTTTTTTTTTTATAAATTATATTTCAATTATCAAAAAATTGAAAATTTATATATTTAACATTTGTTTTTAAATGATTTTCAAAAAGTTTGCTTTATCATAAATTAATGTCTAACAAAAATTTATCTACATAGAAAAGTATTTGCACAAAATCTATTATTAAAGATATTTAAAGAAAAATAAAGCGGGTATACTGACGTTTAGTGCTTCATATCTTTATGAATTAAATTAAATATATTAATATTTGTGAACCTATTACAGAAATATTTTTAATATACTTATCAAATAATGAAAATTTTTTTTTAATAAATGATCACATATTTTTTATTTAATTTAAATTTATACCTTTTTCAAATGACGATATAATATAGGGTTTAACTTGAGATTTCATAATTAAATAATTTTTTTCATATAATAATTTTTAAATAGTATTTATAGTTTTAGTAATAATTCAAAAAAAAAATTTGTTCAACGATTGTTCTTCTATAAAAAAGATAGTTTGGTAAGCTAATAGAATCGAAATTTTTGAAAAAAAGAAACTATATAGGAATTTAGGATGAGACTCACAGTACTATAAATAAAGTAAATTGTGACAACTAAGCTGATGAATTAAAATAGCAGATTAATATAAATTCTTAAGGCATTGGTGATAGGGAATCGTTAGACTACAGCATGCCAATTGACATGTATTTCACATATTATGAATATAAAATATCATTAAAACCAGATTCCTTTATAAAATTCAAATTTTATTTTACAGATTTCTAAGTGAAAATAAGCGCATTGTAAATCAATCAATTAGAATAGATGACTTCAATGCTTGAGATCGCTATACTCCCTCTTTTAACTATAAAAATCCATTTTTCACCGTCAGAATCAGTTATTTTAAAAATATACAAACTCTTTGAAAATAATAAAAAAAAAAAAAATGTCGAACTTTAATTTATCTTCAAGGTGAAAATGGCTACCGTATGCTATTTTTGTGTTGAATTCTCGATTTTATATTTTACATTTTTAACTTTATATTTCTATAACAATTTGAAAAATGTATGGATCAATTTTTTCAAGTTTTTTTATAATAAATTACAAATAATATCAAAATAATTTTTAAATGTAAATCTTATTGTAAATAACAGTAAAATGATTATATGTACTATGAATTTTTTTATCGATGAACACCTGAAATGATTATAAATAGTAGATAACCAAACGCCATTTTATAATGCAGAAAATTTGTTGGTTTTAATAATAATTTTTTTTTAATGTTACATTTATATCTGCAAAACAGAGTTAGAAATAAATATATATTAATTATATTCTTTAAAATCATAAATAAACCATTACACGAACACATACAGTTTATACGCATTTTTTAATTGGTAGAAAAAATAGTCACAACTAATACATTTATTACAAAAAAATTATGATAATGAAAAAATCGTATGTTCGTTTATTATTATCTATATTTATATTAAGTACTGAAGCAGTATTGAATTCAAGAATTAATACTGATATCTATAATAGTCTCGTTAACAATAATGGATGGAAATATTTAAAGGATGTGAAATGTATTCAGTATTGGCAACAATTTTATAGTTTAGAAAATCATTTAGAAATTACTACTCCAAAAGGTTGTAATAAAAGAATTAGAATACTGACTTTATTATTGGCTTGTACATATGCAAAAGATTTAAAAATACTATTTTTCATAATAATACAATTTGGTGAACATTGTAAAAGTTTGAATGACATATTTGATTCAAAAGCAACTGGATATGATTGCACTGTAGAGTTATTGAAGATTTTACAGAAAATGTCATCGATAGCGACATTGATGAAAGATACACTTTATGTACTGGACAATCTGCACTCTGTTCCATGGAAAGATGGGAAAAATAATAACTTTATTTTAGATAATATATTAATAAATTTAGAAAAGTTTAACAACGTCTTAAGACACCAGCTTTCTTTGGAAAATTATTCATCAGTCACGGAAAATTTTTTTCAATTTATTTACTCATATTGTACTAATAAAATGTCTAACATTGAATGTGATATTAAAATGTATTGCAATTTTGAATCAGACGATATAGAATTTCTATGGGTACAATGGATTAAAGAATACAGAAATATTAATGACAAAACTTTGCAGTTCTATGAATATCTGAGTCAAAAAGTCAATTTGAAAATTAATTCCATAATTATAGGAAAATTTCATAATCTAGGGTTTCGACATAATCGGAAAACACTACAAATTGGTATACCTCTACCATCCACGTATAATACCAACGGTATAAATTAAAAAATAATAATTTAAAACTATATTTTAAAACACACATTTTGAATATAGGTACAAAATTTTTCATTAGGCCAAGTAAAACATCTGAAAAAATTCAAAGCAAATCAGAGGAAAATGGTATAAATAATTAATTATTTGTATAGTACTCTATATAAATTCAAAATTATTATACTAGTAATTTTAATTAGGATTTATTTTTATTCCCATTTATACAGAGTGATGTTTAACTATGTCTCACGAATTTTCTTTGCAAATATTAGTGTTACCATATTTATTTTATTTGTTATAAATCTTTGTTGAGCTAATTGTCAAGAAAAATAAATATTTCATCGTCGTCCCTTAACCCTTAAATCAATATCAACTTAAGTTTTTCAAATAACAACTCAGTTTTTTTTATTAATCTTGTTAAGCATAAAAAAAAATCCCTGCACAGATGGGTTGCGGCATAGTGGTGACGTGGCATAGTTGGGTCCAGTATATATTTAATCTGACAGTAATTAAAATCACTATCATAAGAAACGCTTCGATGCAAATTTGTAGATATTGTTTAATTTAAAAAAAGTGGTGGAAAAAGCAACATTAACTACTATCTCCTTAATTATATCCAGATTAGTAATTCTTAGATTCAAATATATATTATAAAATTATATATTACATAATTTTTATATTGAATTGTTTTCAAATTAATATTGATATTGATTTTTAATTTGTTAAAAGTAATAATTTTTAACCTATTTTTTTGTCCTTTAAAGTGAAAGTTTATAACAAAAAAAAAAAATGAATTTATTACAATAACTTTTAGCTCAATTTGCAAGTTTAAAATTGACATCATTAAATAGAAAAAATGGTATTGTTAAGATTAATATACAATCAGGATATTTTATAATTACTATTTACAGTAAATTTTTTATTTCATTCATTGTTAAATTCAGGTGAAACTAAAAATCATTTTTTTTTTTTAGATTTATGATTTTTACAGCAAAATGTTACAAAAAAATTTGGAATTTTATAGACTGGTAGTAGCATACACAAATAGAGTAAAAAAATGAATAAATTTCAAAGTAAAATTATATAATATCAAATCTAATTCGACAATATACTTTTAAAATATTAAAAATGAATGATTTTAATTGTTAGTATGGATAAAGCTGGATAAGCTACTTGTTATTTGATTAAGGGATTTTTTTTTTCAATTTTTGAGGTTAATATCTTTAACTAAATAGAAATTGTAATCATTTGACGTGTCGTTGAAAAAAGTAGGTTAAGTGAGGGTTGGAAAAATAAATCGCGGCCCCAAAAAAAACACAAAATAAAATAATATTAACATGAATAAGATATTCTTCTCACGAGGGGAGACTATAGTGATGGAATCCTTGATGTTTATTGAAGTTATTGAATCTAAATGAGATAAAAATCAAATGATTTCTAAATTTTTTTCTAACACAAAAAGAAATGAAAAATATTAATATGCCACAGGTGGATGCAAACCTTGTACCCTTAGCGTGAAAAACACAAGTGTTACCGATTGGGCAAATGTTCGTCGCTTTCGTCACATGATAAAATTAGCAATTTAAGCTAACTCAAATTTAAAAGTTACTTTTCGATTTTAAAAAAGAAAAAAATTAAAAAGTTTAATTTCTTATGTCTTATGAACCTTTTTCTATGTCAATTAAATTATATAATATTCATTAAAGTCAGTATATTTCCCTTATAAGTAATTTTAAAATAAAATAAAATACAAAACCCAGGATTTTAACACAAAAATAGCATATTTTTGAATACGGTAGCCATTTGCGCATTAAAAGATAGGTCGTCGGGACAAATTTTTGTTTTTAGTTTTATAATACATGACATAAGCTTTAATTTTATATATGTTGAAAGGACGCAATATTTCCGGAACATTTTCAAAAGTTAAGTTGAAAAAATTAGTTTTTGTAAAAATGTTGCTATTTTAAATCCCCCCCTGTGGGCAGAATGAGTGATAGATTTTCAAAAAAAATGATATCAAATAAAAGGGAAATATCTAAGGTTTTAGTATAAAAAAAATTATGTTGATTTTTGAAAATGTTATGGAAATTTAAAAAAAAAAATGATAAAAATGACAAAATTTACCGATATTTAAATTTGTAATTTTTTTGGAGATTTCACCCATTTGCGGGGAACAAGGGAAAATTTTTCAATTTTTAAGGGTAATGTATTCAACAAGATACGATTTGTGATCTTTTGACGTATTGTTGAAAGAAATCGGTTCGGTGAGAGCTGAGAAAAAGTGGCAACAGACATAAAAAAAACATAAAATGGTAAAATTAATACCTTTAATGAATCGTAGCTAGCTGATAATTTAATAAAATAAAAATATTTTTTTACGAAAGATTTTTTTAAAACTAAATCTAGTCTGATTATTTAAAAAAAATAGGGTTACCATTTAAAAATTTTAAGTTGATACTAATTTAAAGCATAAGGGATGATCATATAAATATATTTTTGTTCATTGATCCAGCCCAAAATAGAAACATAATATTTCATAAAGAAAAAAAAGATAACTCTTATATTTTCACAAATTATTTGTGAGGCATAGTTAATCAATCATTCTGTATATTTAGATATATTTTGATTATGTCAAATATTTCCAAAGTATTATTTAAATAAGTGTTCTGAATAATTTTGAAAAGTCTTAAATTGCAAAAAAACTACTATTTTGAAAAAAATATGGAAAAAACAATTTTTTAACTATAAATACACGTGGCGTTCAATTATAAATAGGTACTCTAACTATAATTTGACTTCTTATTAGGAAGGGAAAACACGTTTGAAAATCGATGGATACTAGAACTTATTGATTCATTGAATAAAGGTAAAATTCTTTACTACAAGGTATACTTTAAATTTCTAGTTTTATAAAAATGCGTTTTTAATTATTTATATTAAAATAATTTTTATTAGAAATGGTTAATGTATCTGAAACCAATGAAGAAACGCAACAAATCCATTTTATCGGACAAGGTAAAATGATTCCTTCATAAATCAATAATACTTCAATTTTTTTTTTTTTTACAATTATTGCGAGATAAATAAAAATACATTTTTTTAAAATATAAAATAAAAATAAATATAAATACAAAATAATAATTGCTTTAATAAGTTACTTTTTCATAAAAATTGAATACTAAAAATCATATAAATGATTTCTATATTGTTAAAAAATAAAATAATCTTCATATTGGTGAATAATAAATTAATTTTGATTAGATTTGGTTAATGTATCTGAACTCAATAAAGAACTGCAACTAATCGATTTTCCCGAAAAAGGTAACATGACTTATTTCTATATGAATAATTTGATACAATTTTTGTGTGATAAATTAAAAAATACTATTTTATCAGTGTTTTTTCATTGACTTCTTAATGAAAACTAAATAATGCTTTGTAAAATTATTAAATCCAAATTATTTAAGATTACTAAATATTCATTAATATATATAAATCTTTTAATAAAGTGGATAATTAATTTAAAAATCAATGGATAATTGAGGTAATTAATCCATTTAACAAGATAAAAATTTTTTACTATAAATGATTTCTTCATATTTATAACATAATAAAATAGTCTTCGCATTGGTGTGTAATAATTTAATTTTGATTAGATTTGATTAATGTATCTGAACCCAATAAAGAACTGCAACTAATCAATTTCCTGGAAAAAGGTAAAATTATTCATTTTTAGATGTATCACTTTTTTTATTTTTATAATAAGTGATAATAGTTTGGTTTTTCAGTAAGTTTTTTGGTTAATAATTTTAGTTTTCACTTATTTCTGTATAAGTTAGTTTGTGTTTTTCAATAGAATATTTAATATTTACTGAGTTACGAATCGTTGTATTAAAAAAATCATACTATTTTAACGTGTATTTCTAATAATTTAATTGAAATATTTACACATCGTTTTTTGATGAGCATAAAATATTCATACACTATCATTTTACAAACAGCTGTTTTATGCTACGTTCGTTTGGTAATCTTGGAGACTTAAACGCTAGATTATAACTAAATTAGTATTACAAACTCCAACGTATTTACATTCGTGTATGTTTGGTTGCATCAACATCTCAAGGAGTTAGTTTTGCTTTTGTGTATAAAACTATGTCTAGTAAAGTAGATTCTCCTTTACCTGCCTCGAGAGGAACTTCTTGCCAGACTGGCAGTAGTGTTAAAACTTCGTCGTTAGTAAATTCTATCACTAATGAGGATCTTATGTCTGCAATGAAATCATTCAAATCTGACATTCTATTAGCCAATAAGAGTTTGTCTGATCGTCTTGATAAACAATTTTATAGACTTAAAGAGAAATTAAAAAATTTACTGATTCAAATTTCTGAATTAAAAAATGAAAAAATCAAATTGCATTGTGAACTTGAAATTTTAAATAAAAAAGTAATCAAGTTAGAAACGTGTAATTCTACAATTCAATCATCTACTGTTGTAAGTCAAGTACCACAGGAATTATTTGAAAGAGAAAAATGTTCGACTAACATTAGTCGAACATATGCAGTATTATAGTCTTCATCTTCATCTATGCCTGAACGTATCAGTGATGATATAAAGGCATTGGTTGCTCTTCTTAAGCCTCTTGGCAGAGCTGTTCCACCTATATTTAAGGTTGTTTGTTTAGGTAAAACGCGTCTGAATTTCAATCGCCCACTGAAAATTATCTTTAAGTCGAAAGAATTAGTAGTTCAACTTTTAACGGATTCGTGTTAACGTGCTGGTGTAACATTCGCTGTTAATTTTCGTATCGTGTGTAATAAAACCCCTTTGGAACGTCAACTGCTCCGTGCATGTCATGAAGAACTTGATCAGAGGACTTTTAATGGAGAGAAAGTTTTGAAAATTGTTTATAAGAATGGTTTGCCTGGTATTTCTTCGTCAGGGATAAAAAACTGGATAGCGGATCGACATTCAAATCATCGCCTCTCCTAGTAAATTCATCTTCTAAGTTTTTTATTAACGGATTCTATCAGAATTGCCGTGATCTTCATACTAAAATTGATATTTTTAATTGTAATGTATCTTCCTTAAATTGTTTATTTTTAGTTTTAACTGAAATCTGGTTAACTCGCTCAATATTGAGTAGTGAACTTGGTCTTATAAATTATAATGTATTAGATATGATAGATGTAGTTTATCAAGTGTTAGTTCTCGTGGTGGTGGTATCCTTATTGGCATTAGAAAAGATATTAATTCTAGCCTTATAAAAATGTCTGAGTTAAATGTTAAACAATTCTTTGTTAAATTTTCTATTGGTGCTAATCTTTTTGTAATTGGTGGAGTCTATATTCCTCCGCATTCTCCCTCTAGCCTTTATGATACCCACACACAATCTGTTCAGTATATCATTCAGCAATATCCTAACCATACTTATATCTTTTGTGGTCACTACAACTTACCTGAAATAATTTGTAATAACGATGATAATGGACTTTTATACACCTGTCAATCAACTCTTCGTTGTCCTTCAATTCCTGAAACATTTGCTATGAATGTTTTTTTTTTTCAAAAAAAATCTGTATTTAATGACCATAGCTCCATTCTAGACCTAGTATTTTGTAACAATAACTATCTTACAGTAGATAAGAGTCTTGACTCTCTAGTCTCACTCGATGCTTATCATCCTGCTCTATGTTTATCTCTTAGTTCTAATGTACAATTAACTGGCTGTGATAGTTCTCATGAATTTTTTGATTTTAAAAATTCAAATTTTATTAATATTTGTTCTTTTATTGGAGCATTTAATTGGAAATCTACTTTAGAGTCTTTTGACGCTGACTCAGCCACAAATGTCTTTTATGATGAGGTACATACATGTGTTCTTGATTTTGTACCCAAACGTCGCTTTAGTGTTTCTACTTACCCTGTGTAGTTTTAAGTGGGAAATTAATTTAAAAATCAATGATGATAGAGTATATTGATTCATTTAACAAAGGAAAAATTCTTTGTTATAAATGATTTCTTCATAGTTCTAGTATAATAAAATAGTCTTTGTATTGATGTAAAATAATTTAATTTTGATTAGATTTGGTTAATGTACCTGAACCCAATAAAGAACTGCAACTAATCGATTTTCTCGGAAAAGGTAAAATGACTCATTTCTAGATGTATAATTTTTTTTAATTTTATAATTAAAAAGGTAAAATTCCTTATTTCTAGATAAATCATTTTTTTTTATTTTTGCAATTATTGCGAGATAAATAAAATATACAATTTCTTTTATTTACTTAGTAGTAATACAAAATTGTAATATGAAATTTTAAAAACAATAATTACTGTAATGAGTTTGTTTTTTTATTAAGGATTAAATCCTGATGCCTCATATGATGATATCTCAGAATTGATGGAAACAGACGAAAATAGAGAAAATTATACCAAGTATCTTTAATCAGTAATTTTATGTGTAATTACCACTTTTATCAAAATTTAATAATAAAACATTTTGTTTAAACTTCAATTTGTAATTAAAATTTTGTTGGATTTATTATGCTGAAACATTACGATAAAAATTCCAATAACCTATCTAACTGATACTATCATGGCTAAATAATAAAAATTTATGCTATTTGATAGTAATTGTGGCTAATTACTCAAAATTAAAACTTGAGTAAAAATATTATTTATTATTATTTTATTATTTATAATAAAAATAATAATATTAGTACTAAAATATGAAAAAATTGCGCTCGATATATGTAATAAAGAAATGTGTGCCAAAATTAAAATTGTTATAAAACAGTTATTAATGGTAAAAATGTCCATTCTGTTAATAAATATTCTATTACGTTAACATATTTAATTTTGGTACTCAATAATTTATTTTAAATAAAAACTATTTAGTTGAACAAAAAATAATCGAATACTTCAAAGACAAACTGTAGAATTAAATTTTTTCTTAATTGTTTGTAATATATATTTTTTTAATTAAAATGAACATAACTTTAAATCAAAACTTAAGAAAGTATTTTATAATTATAAAAACATAGTTTTTCTGGAGTTTTTAAAAATACAAAATTTAAAGTACCTTTTATTATTTTTCAGTTATCTAATAATTTTTTATCAAGTCATACTAATTTCTACAATTTTATATTAATATAAAACTAAAACTGGTAAAAAATGATGTTTATTCCTTACTATTGTAATGATAAAACGGATTATTTCATGAACTAGCTGAAAAACTCATCATGTTTCGTGTATAATCACAACAAAAACTTTTCAATTTCATTGATTTTAGCATTAATTTATAAATAATTAAAGCAAACAAGCATTACGTGATTATAGTTCGGCGCCCTCTATTTTATGAATATATCGGAGGCTATACACGAAATAAATATAATTGTGCAAATTAACAATCATTGATAATAATGCTTTATAAACTATTTAAAATAATTTGTAGAATTTGAGAATGGTGTCGAATGGATTATACATTTTGGTCGATCTGTACACTCAATAAACATATTTAACTGTCTAATATCTCAACTGGTAGTGCTGGTAAGACATAAGTATAGCGTTTTTTTCTATTAGGTGCGCCGGTCCTATTGCTCATGTAGTTAAGTTTGAGACTTCTTTGACTGAAAAAACTGTTGCACCTTTATATTACCTGTCTACCTAGGGCTGAGTAAGTTGCTTAAGTTCCTTATGGGGATATCCAGCTCATATAATACATTCTTACTGTGTATATTTTCATTTGTTATTTTTAACTGATTTCAAAATTATTGTATAATTTTCTAAAAACATAATATTTTGGACTTTATCAATTTAATAAAGAAAATAAAATTTCTCAAATTAAATATAATTACATGATTAATATAAGTAAAGCATTTTATACCACTTATATTACTTACTTTTATTATTATTATTATTTTATCTTATTCAGCTTAAACTTTCTACATATATTTTGGGTTGTAACATATTATGTTGAATATTATATAAAAATATAAATGTATTAGTATTTATGTATTGAGTTTTGAATTTGATATATTATTTTTATGAAGAAAAATATTATAAATTATTTTATATAGAAATAATATTCCTATTAAAAACATTATGGTATTGTAATTTTTGTTTTGTAATTATATAATTACTCATTAATTATTACAGTAATATTATAAAAATTATTTAATTAATTAACTAATTATTATTCATCGTAAAATCATTAGAATGATTTTTCGTTTAAGTAACTTAGAAGAACTTTAATTTTTATATGCTCACTTTATAAAACATATTCTATAAATCTAAATTTGTATAAATTAGTTTTGGACATTACCAAATGAATACATTCGAGATATTTGATAGTTAAAAACTATCGATTCATCCGGTTATTTTCAAAAATTATCGATAGAAACGAATTAGATAGTATTAACGAAATACTATTTAGTTATCGAATAGTCAACACCAAACTATTAACCATCGAATTACAGACTGATGAAATGTTAACATAAACAATATGTTAACTAACCATTCAGCTTATTAAAACAACTAAATGAAACAATAAATATCTTGCTTCAACAAAAATTAGCATGACTAAATACTATGACTATTCAACAATCAAGTAAAAAAACCCACAGTGGTGACGTGGCATAGTTGGATAAAGTGTAATGATATCTGACAATGATTAAAATCACTATCATAAAAAACGCTTCGATGCAAATCTTTAGATAGTGTTAAATTTTAAAACATTGGTAGATTTTTTTCAACGATATGTCAAAAGATCACAAATCGCATCTAGTCGAAAACATTGCCCTTTTTCTCTTTTTTTCACACACAGTCGACATATTGTTGGACGCCCTGGAACTACAGTGAGGTATTGCTTCAGGGCGAGACATTATCCTCAAAAATTGAAAAAATATCCCTCGTTCTCCGTAAATAGGGGAAATATCCAAAAAAATAATTGCTAATTTTCGAAATTTTTTTTACTTAAAACTGACATACCTTTTTTGAAAATTACCAAACCAATACAATTTTTAGCTTCGATGCGAAGCTGAGAAGGTATTGGTTTTACTAAGATGTGTTTATTTATTTTTTATATAAATGTGTAATATCATTACCTTTCGTTTCGTATATTTTTTTCATAAATTTAACCCTTTACCTGCCCACAGGGAGGGATTTAAAATGACCACTTTTTCAAAAAAAATTAACTTTTTCAACTTAACTTTTGAAAATGTTCCGGTAGGTCTGACACTTTTATATATATCTTAAATTAAAGCTAATGTAATATTCTTTATTATGCAAAAAAAAAATTTCGAACTTTATTTTATCTTCACGGTGAAAATGGCTACCGCATGCTATTTTTGTGTGAAAATTGNAATGGCTACCAAATGCTATTATTGTGTGAAAATTCTCGATTTTGTATTTTACATTTTTAACTTTATTATGCTATAACTTTTTGAAAAATGTATGGATCAATATAATTTTTTTATGGGAAATACTATTTTTTAGTAATCCCTTTTTCATTCGACATACTTTATCTTAATCAGGATATTAATAAGGAACTAGCACTTTATGAAGCTTTTGGAATAATCCACCAATTTTTTAAAATTAAACACTATCTAAAGATTTGCATCGAAGCGTTTTTTTTTTATAGTGATTTTAATCACTGTCAGATATCATTATACTTGATCCAACTATGCCACGTCACCACTGTGCCGTGACCCCCCTGTGCTAGGTTCTTAACTTTATAATGCTATGACATATTGAAAAGTGTATGTATGGATTAATAATGAACTAGCAGATCATGTAAGCTTTTGGAATAGTCCACCAATTTTTTAAAATAAAACAGTATCTATAGATTTGCATCGAAGTGNAAAATTAAACACTATCTAAAGATTTGCATCGAAGCGTTTTTTTTTGATAGTGATTTTAATCACTGTCAGATATCATTATACTTGATCCATCTATACCACGTCACCACTGTGCTGCGACCCCCCTGTGCTGGGTTTTTTTTTTAGATAATAATGTCTTTACCTTTTATCTTATATATTTTTTTTATAAATCTGCCCCTTTACATGCCCACAGGGGGGGGGGTTCAAAAAGACAAATTTTTCATGAAAAATTAACTTTTTCAACTTCATTTTTGAAATTGTTCCAGAAAATCTGAAACTTTTATATATGCCTTAAATTAAAGCTAATATAATATACTTTATTATGGAAAAAAAAAATTTCGGACTTTATTTTGTCTTCACGTTAAAAATAAACATCAAAGTTAATAAAAAATACCCAGCGCAGATGGGCCGCCGCACAGTGGTGACGTGGTATAGTTGGATCAAGTATAATAATATCTGACAGTGATTAAAATCACTATCATAAAAAACGCTTCGATGCAAATCTTTAGATAGTGTTTAATTTTAAAAAATTGATGGATTATTATTAAAGTTACATGATCTGCTATTTCCTTATTTATATCCTAATTAAGATAAAGTATGTCGAATGAAAGATGTATATAAATACTACTTCTCATGAAAAAAAATTAATGATCCATACATTTTTCAACAAGTTATAGCATAATAAATTTAAAAATGTAAAATACAAAATTGAGAATTATCACACAAAAATTGCATTTGGTAGCCATTTTCACCATGAAGACAAAATAAAGTCAGACATTTTTTTTTTTTCTATAATAAAGTAAATTACATTAGCTTTAATTTAAGATATATATATATATATATATACATATATAAGGGTCAGACTTTCCGAAACACTTTCAAAAGTTAAGTTAAAAATGTTAATTTTTTGTGAAAAAGTTGTCATATTTTCTGTGGGCAGGTAAAGGGTAAAATTTATAAATAAAATATATCAAATGATAGTTAAAGACATTATGCATCTATAAAAAAAAAATTTATATTGATTTGGTATTTTTTAAAAAAGTTATGGTAGTTTTAAGTAAAAGAAATTGAAAAAATTTCAAAAATTAGCGATTTTTAAATTTGTAATTATTTTAGAGATTTCCCCCATTAACGAGAAACGAGTTAAGAAACGTAATACTACTGTATCTACGCACATAAACATCAAAAGCTTGTCAGCCACGTGATGTCATTTGTGACCACTGCGCACACACACACTACTCAAACAATAAAACCAGTTAAGGCAGGTCAAGCTCATGACGAAGAAAACCCACACTCATCGTACCAACCTACTTTGTAACGATCAAACAACAATAAATTAATTTTTTTATTATAAACTTTCACAAAAAACAACTTTAGAAGACTAAAAAAATAGTTTAAAAATGGCTTTTTGTACTGATTATTTTTAACTTATTAAAAATTTAAATCAGTTAAAATTTAAAAACAATTTTTTTTTAATTTTAATTATTTTTTTTTAAATGTAAATTCTTAAATGTAGAAAATTTTTTAATAATTAATAATTATATCAAAACTTAGAAATGAAAGAAAAAGTCAAATTACAGATTTGAAAAGCATTGCAGAAAGATGATTTAGAAAAATATATTTTTGATTCTTATGAAAGTTCCTTGTAGAGCAGTGTATTTATTCATAAGTAAAAAAACATTTTTTTTTATGAAGTATTGCATCCTGTCCTTTAATTTTTATACATGTTTGTTATAGAAATAACAAATTATACTACATTATCATCTTTTATTACATCTCCGTAAAAATTACAATATTATATTATTAAATATTAATTTCATACTATTGTCGTAATTTAAAATAATAAAGAGTATAAATGTAATAGAAATTATATGTGGTATTAAAATATGTAGTGAATACTATCGTGGCAGTGTAGTTCGAGGGTCTATTATTGCTTGTAATGACATGCACATTAAATTGGAATTATCTTACCTGAGTTATGTAATCCTTTCAGGCACGTAGCCAGAAAATGTTTATTGGAGGGGCCAATAATTTTGGGCCCTTGTATCATTTTCCATGATTTGTTTCCCATGAAAAGCTTGTGGGGGGCTCCCTCCACTCCTCCTTAGAAGTATCCCATTCTATGAATCTTACAAGTTCAAAATTTGTGTTTATTTTTAAAAAATTGGTGTATTATTCCAAAAGTTACATGATCTGCTATTTCCTTATTAATATCCTGATTAAGATAAAATATGTCGAATGAAAAAGAGATTATTAAAAAATATTATTTCTCATAAAAAAATTGTGTTGATCCATACATTTTTCAAAAAGTATTATTAAGCATTATAAAGTTAAAAATGTAAAATACAAAATTGAGAATTTTCACACAAAAATAGCATTTGGTAGCCATTTTCACCATGAAGACAAAATAAAGTCAGAAATTTTTTTAAATAAAAAAGTACTTTACATTAGCTTTAATTTAAGATATAGATAAAAGTGTCAGACTTTCCTGAATATTTTAAAAAATTAAGTGAAAAAAGTTAATTTTTTGTCAAAAAGTTGTCATTTTGAATCCCCCCCTGTAGGCAGGTAAAGGGTCAGATTTATAAAAAAATATATCAAATGAAAAGTAACGATGTCATGCATCTATATAAAAAAGTTATGGCAATTTTAAGTAAAAAAAATTGAAAAAAATTCGAAAATTAGCGATTTTTAAATTTGTAATTTTTTTGAAGATTTCCTCCATTTACGAGGAACGAGGGAAATTTTTTCAATTTTTGAGGGTAATGTCTTCGACTAGATACGATTTGTGATCTTTTGACGTATCATTGAAAGAAGTCGGTTCGGTCAAACTGAGGAAAAGTGGTAACAGACACAAAAAAAAAAAAATAAAAAAACACATCATAGTAAAACCAATATCTTCTTAGCTTCGCATCGAAGCTAAAATACGATTTTTGTAAAAAAATTCTTTTTTATATTTTTAACTTTATAATGCTATAACTTTTTGAAAGATATATGGATAAATATAATTCTTTTTTTGTAGATGCATGATGTCTTTACCTATCATTTGGTATATCTTATTCGGTATATAATCTTTTTTAAAAATAAATTAATTTTATAAATAAATAAAAAATTAATCTTTTTTAAAATTTTTGGCATAATGTGCTTTTATTGTAATTAGGAAAACAACGCCGGTTTCTGTCACAATCTGTAATAGGTATTGTTTTTGTGGTTTGTCTTTTGTTAAAATATTATTAATATCCCCAAAAAATTACAAATTTATCTAATCATTCCAGTAGAAAAAAAGTATTCAGGTAAAATATAGTATAAAAAAAACTCAGCAAACGAACAGAATTTTATTTACGAATTGAAGCTTAAACAAAATGTTTTATTATTAAATTTTGATAAAAGTGGTAATTACACATAAAATTACTGATTAAAGATACTTGGTATAATTTTCTCTATTTTCGTCTGTTTCCATCGATTCTGAGATATCATCATATGAGGCATCAGGATTTAATCCTTAATGAAAAAAAAAAATAGATAAATTGTATTTTTTAATTTATCTCGCAATAATTGCAAAAATCAAAGAAAGTTATCTAGAAATGAGTCATTTTACCTTTTTCGAGAAAATCGATTAGATGCAATTCATTATTGGGTTGAGATACATTAACCAAATCTAATCAAAATTAATTTATTATACACCAATTACAATAAACTTTTTATTTAACTATAACTATGAAGAAATCATTTATACGATTTTTGGTATTCAATACAAATAAAAGAGTAAGTTATTAAAAAAAATATTTTTTTTTTGTAAAAGTCATATTTTTATTAATTATTATTACAGCATAAATAAAAAAAATGTATTTATGAATAACTCATTTTACCTTTTCCGAGAAAATCGTTTAGTTGAAGTTCTTTATTAGGTTCAAATACAGTAACCAAATCTAATAAAAATTAATTTATTATACACCAATACGAAGACTATTTTATTTAAATAGAACTATGAAGAAATCATTTAGAGCGAAGAATTTTTCCTTTATTAAATGAATCAATAACTTGTAATTTCCGTTGATTTTTTAATTAATTTTCCACTTTATTAAAATATTGATATACAGGTTGGCCCAACACTCACTGACAACTTAAAGAACTTTTGATCCAATTGATACTATTTGCTAATTTTGTTTTTTATATTTAATATACTTATAGGCTATAATAATAATGTTATAAATATCACTTTTATAATTAAATAAACAAATTATAATTTTAAAAATTTACGAGAAATGTTTAAAAAAAATTCAAAATAACCATTATTTTAAATAAATTTTAAGAAATAATTTCGTAAAAACATTTCTTATTATAGTTTTATTGTTCATTTTCTGTAACATTTTAAATTTTGTAAAAATTTATTCTACGGTATCAAACGCTGGCTATGTTTTATAAAAATATAGTTTAAAAAAACTAAAAAAACACGCTTTTAAAGTACATCGAACTAAAAAGTTAAAAATAATTTTTAAAATAAACTTAAAATAATTCTGAATAAAAAATACTAGTATTATTGTGATAAAAGCTTTGGGCGCTCAATATACGAAAAATATGACACAAAGCACCCACGCTTTTATCACATTAATACTAGTATTTTTTATTCATAATTTTTTTAAGTTTATTTTAAAAATTATTTTTAACTTTTTAGTTCGATGGGCTTTAAAAGCGTGTTTTTTTAAACTATATTTATTTTTCACTTTTTAGTTTCATGTTATGATAGTAGTTGCTATCAATATCATGGTTGTAACGGGTAACGGGAAATCAGGGTTCGATTCCGGAGAGGGAGTCTGAGAAACCCAACCCAACCCAACCAATCACATCCAAGGAAAGCAGCAGGCGCGTAAATTACCCACTCCCGGAACATGGAGGTAGTGACGAAAAATGACGATACGGGAATCATCCCTCGTAATCGGAATGAATACTTTATATTTCTTAATTAGAATAAATCGTGTTAATATATAAATTGTAATAGTAATTAGAATATATATACAAATAATGCGACTTAAGTACGTAAACGTATCATGCACTAGGTATAGCTGTGTTTTTTGGGCGGGCGGGTCGGACTAACGTTATACCTGAAGTATAAACGGCGGTAGGAATATATACGTAAGCCGTATGATACGCGGATGGTATTGGTCAGTCAAAATAAAAATTTGTTTATATATATATAATATATTTATTATATTATAATATTGATGATAAGCACGCGTGTACGGGTACGATAACTAAAAATAAATTTTTATAGGAATAAAGTTGTCGTCGTATGGTGAGAGAGGCGTGGTGTGGGGTGAATGCGTTATGACAGTCTAGTCTAGACCAGAGGTTCTCAAAGTCAAATGAATCACGGACCCCCCTCTAAAGACCTACAGTTTTAAAGACCTAACCCTGATATGTGCTCGCGGACCCCTGGGGGTCTGCGGACCACACTTTGAGAAACTCTGGTCTAGACGACGGAATATGCGATAACGCGTGGCGTTTGGAGAGTTACAAACAAACATACATACATACATACATACATACATGCATACATACATACATACATATATACATATATACATACATACAAACATACAGGTGAAACTAATATAAGCGTTTTAAAAAAGGACAAAAATAAACACAATTTTTTCACACTAATTATGATATGTATATGCATTTTTCCATGGAAATTTTTAACGTCGTAATGAACGGCTTTAATTCATATAAAAACACAAACAATAAAAGAGAATCTCTTTAGTTGATAAATCTATACTAACTAAAATTACAATTTATTTATCACGAGTCAAAATTTATATTATACCAAGTATAAGGTCTATTATATTTACAAACTTGGTATTAATATGATAATAAAATATTTGATAAGGCAATTATTACTAATCACTCTTATTTAAATGCATAAGTAATTTTCATAGAAAAAGTTACACACCTCCAAATTATAGTAATTAAGAAAAGATAGTATTTTATTCTGTCCTTTTCTCAACATGTATTTCAATGTTTAATACAATAAATATATATAAAAATTTGATATATATAAATATAAGTAAAATTAGCCACAAGTGATCAATTTTTATTATATATAAATATATATCAAAAATATGAAATTTCAAATTTCCACAAACTTTAAAATTCTACAAATTATTTACTACTGAATATTAATAAGATATTTTTTTACCAAAATTTTTCTTAAAATCTACTCTATAAAATAGCTATCTTAATTTTTTTTTTTTTAATTTTATTTAAAATTTAAAAATAATTTATATTTTTAATAAAATTTAAAAAAATGAATTATTAAGATATAAATATAGACCTAACGTATAACTATTATTAAAAAAAAATCAGCTGGATCAAAAGTTTTTTAAGTTGCAGTAAGTGCTGGGCCACCTATATATTAAGAATATTTAGATAAAATTTAGTAATTTTAAATAATTTTACAATGCATTATTTAGTTTACATTAACAATAGTTTATCTACAAGATTGTTTACAGTCTAAAAAAGAACACTCTAAATAATACTTAAATTATATGGGATATGTTGATAACAAAAATAAATTTGATTCTTGAATATTAATACAATAGTTTTAAATTTATGTGGCATATATTAAAGTTTAAAATAAAAGTAATACCTTTTTTTTGTGATGTTCTTTCAATTGTTTCAGAAGATTTATTAGGTCTTGGGTACAATTTAAAATCTATTTTTAAAAAATAAGCTTTAATAAGATTGTTTTAAATTATTTTTCATAAATGTATACACATTTGGTAGTGGTATCAATTTAAATAAATAATAATAAAAAGTACTGAGAACCAAATAACTTAATAGAAAGAAATAAAAAGACATTTTTATATAACTAGAACTTTGTAGCAACCATTTGTAGTAATAAAATTTACCTATATTTAATGAATCAATGAGTTCTAGTATCCATTGATTTTCAAATTGATTTTTGATATCTAGTAATATTAAAAATATATTAAATCTTGTTAAAGTTTAACACTGTGTATACTTGGGATTAAAGCATTATTGAGTTTTCCTATATACAGAGTGGAACAGATCAAACTCATATAACTTATGATCTACATAACATTTTATAATTTTTTTTTTTAATCAATTTTTACAATATAGAACTATATTTAAAATATGTTTTATGTTATTTTTTACAATTACAAAAAATATTTTAAAAATTAATTTTTTTATTAAAATTTTGTTTAAGATTTGAAGATTATTTATTATTTTATAAATAAGTTTTAAAGAAAAATTTTGATATCAAAAACTCTTATTTCAATTCTGTAGTTACGTTTATACAGTATTTTGAAGTTTGTTAAATTTTGATTTTTTTTACAATTTTTCTATGGTGTCAAATGTTAATCCATATTATGTAAAGTACAGAAGTAAACACTTATTCCATTATTTACTAGTAACAGTACGCGATTCTTTTTCCATGAAAATTATTAACATTTGATTAAGCATTTGTCATTTATATGAAAAAACAAGTAGTAGCGCATTAAACGTTATTATTATCCATGGAAAATAAATCGCATACTGTTACCAGTAAATAACGTAATAAGTGTTTACTTTTGTACTTTACATAATATGGACTAACATTTGATGCCATAGAAAAATTGTATAAAAAATCAAAATTTAACAAATTTTAAAATGCTGTATAAACGTAACTACTAAATTAAAATAAGAGATTTTGGTATAAAATTTATCTTTAAAACTTATCTATAAAATAATAAAAGATCATTAAATCTTAAAAAAAATTTTAATAAAAATTAATTTTTATAATTGCGAAAAATAATATAAAACATATTTTAAATATAGTTCTATATTGTAAAAATTGATTGAAAAAAAAAAGTATAAATTGTTATGTAGATCAGTTATATGAGTTGTCAGTTAGATCTGTTCTACTCAGTAGCGTGCCCAGGAATTTTAAATGGGGAGGGATGTCATAACTAATAGGTATTAATACAACTAAATACATTTAATGGGGGTGAAAGAATTAGAAAAAGATTAATAAGGGGGCTTTAGAGGTCAAGCCTCATTAAAATATTTAATAATATTTTGTGTTTTGTGTGATATGATGTAATGTTGTTATACAAATATACAATGTAATAATTACAACTTTATTCAATTATTGCTGTTAGGTACTCGATACTAGAAAAAAAAACGCAATGGGGAGGGATATGACCCCTAACCTCCCCCCTCCTGGGCACGCCACTGGTTCCACCCTATATATATATATAAATTTCTTTTTTAAGTATTTTTTGTAATTAAGTATAATTTATAATTTTTTAATGGAATAAAAATAAAAATTCATATTATACCTTCTCTTTGTGATTCGCTTTGAATTGTTGCGGAAGTTTTATTAGGTTTTGTATACAATTTTAAATCTACATTTAAAATATATGCTTTAAGATAGTTTTAAATTGTTTATTTACAAATTCTTACCATAATTAATGGACTCTTCTAGTAGAGGTATTCCAATTTGTAGAGTATTTCGGTCATACTGAAACCCTAGTTTATGAAATTTGTTTATAATTATGGAATTAAGCAGTAAATTGACTTTTTGACTCAGATATTCATAGAACGGCAAAGTCTTGTCATTATTAATTTTATGTTTGTATTCTTTATCCCATTTTAGCCATAGCGTTTTGCTATCATATGACACAAATCTGCAATACTTATAACATTCCCATTCAGTGTCACCCTCTCTATTACTAAAAAAATATATAGTAAATACTAAAAACATATTAGAGGTTGTATCATTTTCCAAATAAATATAGTTTTGTAATCTTATGTTAAAGTCTTCTAAATGTAATAATACATTTTCTAAAACAAAGTGATTATTTTTCCCGTTTTTTATTGGATAGCTATGCAGATAGTCCAGTACATAAAGTGTTTCTTTCATCAATGTTGCTAATGATGGAATTTTTTTTACAATTTTAAACAGCTCTATAGCGCAAATACCTCCAGTTGGATCACGTTTTCTAATCAAACTCTGGCAATGTTCTCCAAATTGCACGAATATGAAAAATAGTTTTTTTAAATCACTAATGTATGAACAAGCTAAGAAATAAGTTAATAAACGAATTCGTTTGTCACAATTAATTACATTTTCTTTTCCAATAATTTGCTCTAAAGAATAAGAATTTTTCAAGTATTGAATACAATTCACATCTTTTAAATTATTCCATCCATCATTTATAATGAGACTACTAAAAATATAATTTTCGAGATTTTGAATGTTTTTTGATTCAATGAAGAATGTAAAAATAAATATTATTAAAATAAAATAAGACTTTTTCATAATCAGTATTTATTTTGTAAAAACTGGAATATAATGAGTTGCTTCTATTTTATTTTAATGGTCGAAAAATTGTAATTGTATGTGTTTTCATTTGTTTTTAAATACTTTTCATAGAATCTACTATATATTCATTTGAACTTAAATTTCATCCATATATGTAACTATATGTAAATAATCTATTAATAAAACCTTAATATTTACATAATGGCAAAGTTGACGTTTGAGGCGTTATAATTTTTAAGATTTAAAAAAATATAGCATTGTTTGCGAATTTTTTATAAAAATATTTTAAATATATTATTCTAATAATGACAAATTTTTGAAATTAATATAAATGAATACATATTTTTGATTCTAATAGAATTTTACTTTTTTTTAACAACGATAATATAATTGTTTTACGACATTTTAAGAAATTGGTTGATTATTCTAAAAACAAAATTAACCCCTATTTCTATTATTATTTTCAGTTAGTAGTTGATTTATAAGTATAATTTATGAATTAATATTTACTAAAGCAATTCAACGTAGTTTAAAAAAATGTAGTATTGTATTTTTTTTGGAAAACTTATAAAAAATTATAAAGTAGTTATTACTTTTATGACAAACGTATATAAAAATTGCAGCCCTTCACACAGAACTTTTTAGATAATAATTTGTTGTTAATTATGAATAAATTGTCTGCAAAAAATGTTCATCAGAATCAAAAATATACATTAATTTCAAATCAACAATATATGATTTCCATCACCGATAATTTTTTATATTATTACTAATTAGTTAAAACTATAGGATATAACTACAAGGAAAATAGTTCTGTATATTTCAATTATCATCTATTTAAACAATATGAGTTACATAGAAATGATTAATATTTCTTTTGAATTAATTTATTACGATAAAAAAATATTTAAAAACACAAAAAAATCGTTTTAAAATTATTAAACATTTTTAATATTTAAAAAAAAGTAGTGCAAAATGTCATTTTTAACCAATTTTTTTGGTATTTTAAAGTTGATTTTTTGAAATTTTATATTTAAAAAAAATTGGATTCATTACCATAACTTTTAGTTCAACTTCAAGTTTGAAATTTTCATTATTAAATAGGAAATATTATGAGAATAAAAAAATAGTATTGTTAAGATTAATATGCAGTCAGGAAATTGCATAATTACTTTTTACTGTAAATTTATCAAAAAAGCTCAATATTTTTTTTCCATTTTTATTGTAATAGATCAGTTAAATAAAAATCATAGTAATCATTTTTAAGTCATTTTTGGTGTTTAAAAATATTGTACAATTGAAACATTCAGATCTTAATTATTTTTAATGATTTACTTCAACTAAAATAACCAATCAAAATTTTGTTAAAAAAATCTACTCAATTGAGTGTTTTATAAAATTTGATTATAATAATAAAATCTTTTTGTTAAAAACTTAAAACTTAATGTTTTATGAGAGCCATAAAAATAATCACATAGTAATAAAACTTTAATATGAATAAGAAATTTCTTCAAACGTGGGATGACTACAGTGATGGAATCCTTGAATTTATTCTTGATTTATCCTTGATATTTATTAAAGCTATTGAATCTAAATGAGATAAAAGTCAAATATTTAAAAAAATTTGTGTATGGTATTTTAAAATAAAATAAAATACAATCCAAAATTTTAAAACAAAAATAGCATACGGTAGCCATTTTTACCATGAAGATAAAATGAAGTTCGAATTTTGTTTTTCATATTAAAGTATATTATATAAGATTTATTTTAAGATATATATAAAAGTGCCCGTATTTCCGAAACAATTTCAAAAGTTAATTTTTTTGTAAAAGTTGTCATCAACTTGTGAGTTGATAAATCAACTTTTGATTTATTTTTGATTGATCAAATTGTGGGCAGATAAAGGGTCAAATTTATAAAAAAAATATATAAAATGATATGTGAATACCTCACGTATCTATATAAAAGAAATTATATTGATATGGTCATTTTTAAAAAGTTATGGCAGTTTTAAGTAAAAAAAATTGAAAAAATGTCGAAAATTAGCGATTTTTAAATTTTTGGAGATTTCTCCCATTTACGGGAAACGAGAGAAATTTTTTTAATTTTTGAGGGTGCTGATGTCGTCGACTAGTTACAATTTGTGATCTTTTGTATCGTTGAAAGAAATCGGTTCGCCGAGAGCTGAGAAAAAGTGGTAAAAAAAAAACTCTTCATAGTAAAATCAATACATTTTCTGCTTCGCACAGAAGCTAAAGTATACAAAATTAACTAGTCCACGTTAAGTTCCAATCTTACAAAACATTATTTAGATAGTAAGAAATTTATGATTTTCTATAGTTTGCAAAATGTTTCATAATCATTCATATGCAGTGATCGGTGTTAATGTAACATAGTTACAATTTCAATGTTTTCAAATAATTCAAATTTAAACATTACAAATGAATAAATAAACAAAATTATTCAATATGTTAATAATACATTCTAATAGTGTTAATCATAGTATTAAAAAAAATTTCTTATTTTCAATATTCATTATAATTATATAAACGCTACATGATTTTAAATGAACTGGGAAAATTAAGTGTGAAACTGTAAATTTATAATTTTTTTTTTTCAAAAAATGAATTCGCTACAAAAATAATCCAAACTAACACAAAAGGCTTGTTATAGTTATTGTTTGAAGTCGCCTTGTCGACTGCAACGAATAATTGTCTGAACTCAAAAGAATATAATATATTATATTATGAATATAGAAACACCCTGACTCATTTTGTGCAGACTGCTATTAATTAATCTTAGTTTTTTATGGACGTACACATTTATTTATATTTTCTTCGGAAATTTATATTAGGTACACATTTTTTTCAACGACTTAAACTTAATCGATTTACTTTTAAACATCCGGCAAGATGGTCATATTTTAGAAATGCAACCAAGAAAATAAAGAGACTAAAGATGTTTTAGAAATAGGAGGGACACACTGCAAAGAGCCCCCATAAAAGTTTTTATAGAACAGTATTTAAAAAACATGAAAGACGGTAGTTTTATTATCTCCTTCTTTTTTTTTTAAGAAATAAAGTGTACTTAAATCTTTTTTTATGAATACGTCTTGGTTAGAATTAGTTGATTAATAGTAAACAACTAGCAAAATATGTTTTCTTATTATAAATTATTTTGATTTAAAAAATATATTGTATTGATCAATCATTATTAGACTTGAATATAAAATGTATGTTGTGTGAAGGGGTAGAATTTAATTTTAAGTTTTTCTTCAAGAATTCTATGATTGAATAAAAAAGATAATACTATAGGCAGATATTTAGGACACTTACAGTAGTTAAGCCCACTTAATGTTAAAAAAGAATACATTGATAAGCAAAAACAAAAACATATCAAATAAAAAAACATAACATCCGAAATTTAGCTTACTTTAAATATTTACTAAAAGTTCTATAGCTAATAATAGCTTTTTATTTTAATTTGAAGAACCATAACTATTTGACGTCTTCTTGTATGTGTAGCTTAATAAAATATAATTTAATTACTTACTTTTAATTAATTAAATTATTTCATGAAGTTGGTCTTTGTTTTTATTTTCATAGAAAAAATATTCCATATGCCTTTATTGTTAAGTTTACCTTTATTGGTAAATTATTTCATTATTTAAACTATTGAAGTGAACTATTATTTCATCTCTTGTTAATTTTCATTAAAAACACTTTTGTTGATTTTAAATAATCCAAATAATGTTAAAAACAAGACAAATATCTTTTAATACCGACTGGATATACACTAACTGGTACAGGGATATTCCCCTAAAACTTCAAAATTTTCGGATTAATTTCATAGTATACAAACACTCGAAAATACCTATAACTTTTGAAATACTGTTAAAAATTTGAAATCGATGCGTCATTTTCTATTTTATAATCTAATTGATTATACCAGCTGCTATTTGAAAAAACTAAGTTAATATTCTTTTCAAATGTAAGGTATAAACATGAAAAAATTTTGTAGCAGATAAATGAAGGAACGGTGTGCCCATGTCGGCAATTCAACAATACTTAGCGCGCACTGCCTCGGATTCAAAACTCGTTCACAGGCGGCTTCATTTGCCGAACAAGAGATCAATTTAGTGATTGGAGTTTGTCTCCGGTGACAGACTACCCGCCGTCTCAGAGTATCGATGGTTAAGAAATCTCCTCCTTCGGGGATTTAATGAGCTTAAAAAGCGATAAAAAAAAATAATAATAAATAGAAAAAAAATAGAGTAGCTAGTGTTATATGAATCACTCTGTATATACATATCTTCGAAATATTAAAAAAATATCCATTCAAATTTCATTTTGTAAATAGATAAAATGCTTTATAAACAAAACATCATATTATTCAAAATATTTAAATACATAATTTCTTATTTATTTTACGAATTGCTACGTTTTTTACTAACCTACAATGCATACAAAAGATTTACCGTTGTTTAAAATTTAAGAAATTAAACACACGTATTCGATCAGTTTCTGATTAAGGTCATTGACGTGCAGGTGATAGCCAAGGTTGATTTAATAGGTTTTTTTATCATACACAGTAGTTTTCTAATTAATCTACATTATTTAATGATCCATTTTTACGTGACAATTTTTTTTTTATATTATTATAGTGTTAAAGTAACATGAATTTACCAATGATAACCAATATACTATAATAATAATTAAAATACTACCTTATTACACATTTTATTAGAAAATAAGCGATTTTTTTCTTAAATGCTTACTTGGCGTATGAACATATTTAGTTTCGATGTAAATTTTAAACTAAATTATACAGTTTTTTTAGCAATTCTATAACTATTAAAAATATTTTATTACTTTTCATTATAATAATTTTCGCAATTTTGGACTACATTAATAGCATATTATTTATTATTTATTTCTAATAAAAAAAAAAAATTTTATTTTAATTATTTTAAAATAGCCATTTTCTAATAAAAATTATGATGGGTCAATAACAACTTTAGGATGACTACTTATTGAGTTACAAGTATTTTAATACATAGAATAGATATGTAGTGAGGGTGGAATACACATATCTGAATAGAAACTGTACCCACAGCGTAAAAACTATAATATTTTTATGAACAAGTTGGTATAACCTG